CCTCTCTTCCTTCTGTTCTTCTGTCCTCTCCGGTGCTACCATCATCTTTTCTGTTTGTTTTTTTCTTTGTTTCCGGCTGCTGGCGGGGTTGGGGGTTTTGGTGTTGTTCTTCATTTTTTATGGTCGGGAGTTCCTGTTTGCGTTCATCTTTAGTTGGTAGTCTTCGCAGTCTGCGTTTCAGTTATCTTTTTGCAGTCGTGCGGGATGGTTCGCGCTCTGTTGTTCCCACCATCCTTGACAGAGATTTATCTCCAGTATCTTCTGGTCTTGCATCCTTGCACCCTTGAATGCCGATTTCGAGGAGCCCGGGACTTTGTCGGGCTCTACTGAACAATCACACTTATTGTCACTGGAAAACTATCTCCTCCTACAGTTTTGAAGCTACAGCAATGAGAGATATACCATTCGATTCGCAAATAAAAGATCTGGAGATTGAGGAGGAGATAGTTTTCTACAGTACCCTCTTTTTAGCGTTTTCTAAGAATTTCGCATTTTCTTTAATTTTTTCGAAAAATTTACACGAACAAAAAAGTCTTAGAATTATTTTTTACATATGTGTACCAATGTTGGGGACTAATCAATAAACCGGTTTTCTTTGACCCCAAACAATCGACCAGTGATCGTATTTAGAGGATAAATAAAAACTGATAAACCAAGAACTATAATAAAAAATAAAGGATAAATCCAAGAAAACAAATTATAAAACTATAAACCGCGTATCTTTCTCGTAAGAATGTCCTAAGTTCGGAACCTTGCTCTGTGGTGGATCACATAACAATGACAAGATACAGGGCGGGTCTGCACGAAGTCACGTAATAGTTCACTCAAAACAAAATGACAATACACGAACCTAACTATCGATGAAATTATTACATTGAAAGGCGTTCCCTAACATCACCCGCCACCAAGTGCAAAAATTCTATTCTTGCACTTAACAATCCCTTAGTGAACATGTAAGGTCGACCAAGGTTGAAGCATGAATCTTTTATCCAACACAAACAGGTAAGATTTATTTTCTATACAACTTTATCCTGGTCACGATACCAATTTATGTTGGGGGTCTATCTCTTAACAAACTGACGTCTCCCCGACACAGCACGTGATCGTTCTTCAAGACTTCAATCAACTTTCAAGACCAAGGATTTTCAATAAATAAGCAGTTGAAAGTAAATATAATTAAGGATGAATAAATAGAAACAAACACAACGAACCTAACACCCTAATCTTAACCTCATTTTAACTTTAACCGTGCGTTTCTATCACTTTCAATTCACTTCAAAGTTCACTGATCAAGTCCAAAATATCGAGGCCTTCCTGAAATAGAACAAAAATAACGCTTGAAATAACTAACTAGAGAATGAATATATAATAAACATAATAAACAAATTAACACGCACAAATAATCAATAACATCAAACGATTCACTTCTAAAATTTAACAATCTCAAATATAATCACAGATCTATCGATTAACGTACCTCCACGGAAAGAACACTAGACACTATGATCGACGAAAAGGAATACTACTGGAGGTCACGGTTAAGGTGATTGAAGACTGAAAATGAAAAACCGAAATCCTAAACCTAATATATTGAAATATAAAAATCCGAAATAATTCTATTTCCTCTACAACAAGTTTCGAAATTATCAGTCCGTAAATAAAAAAGTTTTTGTGGGACCTAGACGCTCCCCTTAAATGTAATTTGGATTTTCCCTGCTAATTGTACATGTCTTGTCAAATTTTAGAACTGATGATGGAGATGTTCTCCCAAACGTTTTCAATGAAGATATAATTAATTCACTGAACGCTTTCTATGATTTTTAATTAGTATTAACATTACTGAACTGAGATGAACGCAATTGTCCTTAGTTCTCGTTCACGTTCCAGAACTTCGGAGACCGGTTGTTTGGTCTTTGGTCATAGTTCACAGCGAGCATTAGTCTTCTTTAGCTGCTGAAGTAATATTTGCTTGTTTTCAGTACACGTGCATGAATTTTTGAGTGAATAATGCTGAGTGCATGTGTGTATTTAATAAATATTATTAATCCGATAAAATATACAGAGGTTCATGTTCGCAATATAACATGGAGAGACTGGCGCCAGGAGGAAGGTATATTTGAAGGTGGAATATCAGAGTTCGGTCTGCGGGCTGGTGGAATAAGACCTTTGATACTGTGAGTATGTTATTTTCAGTATATACTTTAATTTCGGTGACCTGCATTGCATAGGTACGATTGTGGCGTAAAACTATGCCCTCTAATTAGGACCAATATATTAATTATAATCCTAACCCTGAGACTTTGTGCTTCTGACCGCGTGACCTTGAACGTCTGACCCTGTGACCTTGCAACCCTGATCATGTGACCTTGAACCCTGACCATATGACCTTACATCCCTGACTTTGTGACCTTGCACACCTGACCCAATGATGTTTCACATATGAAACACTTCTTTATCGGGCAACAACACGGCCATCGATCTAATTAATAAAAAGCCCGTTCACATTTACATGAACGAACGATGAACGAATGAGAGTTCCTTGACAATTTCACTTGAATGAATGCCAATAATATTTTTATTTGATATGAAAAATAATACCGTAATATTATAATTCAAGATTTAATTTGGCCTTACCATAAAAAATCAAGTCCTATTTGACATAATTTCAGACTTGAATACAAAATCGACTTTAAATTTGAACGACGCCTTGCCTCGCAAATGGAATTTCAGCCAACAGGGAATTACTTTGTCGTTTCAAGTCTAGATCATAAGAGTTAGCCTTTTCCGAAGCTCAATTGAATGCTTAAATTATAATTTTATCGGCTGCAGGAAGCAGCTTCGCGCGTAGTGGACTGCCGTGCAAGGGAGAGGCGACGAGCTACTCAACAGCAGACCAACTCTGACGAGTGAAAAACCTGCTCCTGCTTTGCGTTGCCTGCTTCTGGGTCGTCTTTCTGGGTGATGCATCTAAATCAAGCTACGAGTGTTGACCGGGTCACGTCTCATAGTCGTTCATCAACAACCCCTTCTTAGACGACACCTATGATGAAGTATCCGTACAGTTTTAATCTCTTGAGCCAAGTACAGTTTAAATCTCTTGAGCCAAATTGTTGATCGGTCGAACGAAAATTTGCAGGAGATGTCCTCTCCAATTCAGCAAGCTGAACAATGCATTTAAAATTTTTATTAGGCGCTCGCTGAAGTCTTACAGCAGCTCTTATACTCACTCCCTGCACTTAGTGGCAAATCTTCATGGGAGAACCTTTCTTCCATAATTCGTTAGCATTCTTTTACAGGGTAACCATGTAACAAGAATGAGCGCTCAATCCCTCAAACAAGCATCCAGCCATTCTGCAGCTTAAACTTTGAACTGAACTATTATAAGGCGAGGAAAAATACTTTCCTGAAAAGTATCTGAGTACACATAACCAATGTGATGATTTATTTTGGTAGCATAGAAATGGCCAAATTGTGAATTTTTATTCACCCTCTCGTGGCACTTAAAATCATTATTGTAGTCGAATTTGCCCGTAACGATATTTGAGCACTTGAAAGTATTGGCGGAGCTGTAATGCTCGTAAATGTTCGTAGCGACGTGACGCATCTAAGTTACGATAACGCAAATGTTCGTTACATAAGCGCAAATGCTCGACAATCTCAAGATGTTTGTGCCGAGCTTCTTGCGTATCATGTTAAATGTATAACAAAAGTTCCGCCGAGACTTATTCATGTCGGAAGCGAGTCAGAAAATTACCCTGCAAACATCGATTTTACAACAAAATCGATTACCAAAAAAACAAATCGATTTTACTTTCGAATTAGTTTCCGCTTCTGAGTTTTTCAATAAGAAAAAAATTGATCTGAAATATTGAAGCAGAAGAAGAAATAACCACACTGAAAATCCCAAGGCCTTCTAGAGCGGAGATTGTACAGGCACATGACTACTAGAGATATGACATGATAGGAAAAATGCGGTACACAAGATATGGTTTACACACAGTAACACTAATCGCATATGATCGGAGGTGGGAACAGCAGTGGCATTAAAGCTACAATCAGCGTAGCGTTAATTTATCAGCCCTTGATAGATTTTTTGCCATCAGTCATAGGTAGAGAGAGAGATGGAGTTAGCAAAGATTAATGTGCTAATAATTAACGCTTAATTTGGTTCACTTCCAATACGCAATGATATTCAAACATAATTTTGAAACAATTGAGGCTATAACGAAATATTGTATTCAGTCTAAGACGTTCATATTCATGCAGAACAAGAAATTGCTATAGCTCGATTTGCAGTTTTAGTGAAGTTGAAAAATGAAAAGTATTTTTATACTTTAGCGTGCAAAATAAGATCACGTGTCGATCCAGAAGTTAGCAGTCAACGACATCCGAAGGAGAGGCAAAGCCTTCAACACTGTTCAATTGCGACCTTTCTGCAGCTGATTCCAACAGCGAGGGTATTATAACATGTTCATTATTTTAAGCAATTCATAATGTTAGCTAGAACCAATTGCGTTCACAAGGAGGCTATATATTAGAGGTGAAGTTATCTAACTGTGGCTAATGTCGGCCCGAAATTGCTCGGCGTGCAGTTCCTTACTTAAATCCATGAGACACACATGTATATGATCTTCAAAGCTATATAACTGTTGCTGGGTCTTTCTTCTGAATGTGTCGGAGTTTAATAAATCAAACTTGTCTACTTTTCGTGATTGAGAATGTAGATTTTTGAGTAAATTTTTAATTTTGTGAAGCCAATTTGATAAACTCAAGTCAGACAGCAGTATAGGAAAATAAAAATACCTAAAATGAAACTCCGCATGCTGCTCACGTTTCTTTTAGGACTCATTTCAAGGTACTGCAATTGTTCATTCAATTCATAGGTATTTGAATTTCTGAATAAAAATCGTTTCGTTCTAAAAATCAATAAAGTCATGAATAAACAATACGAAACATAACTTTAATCTGATTCTTTGATGGTTTCATCTGATTATTGAACAGAATTATTTGTCTGATTTTGACGACGTCGCTTGAGTTATCAGTTGTAGTTTAGAGGGCACATTTGTTAGCAATGAAGCAGTGGAGCAGAGCTGTGTTGGTGTGTATGCTGGTGCACGTTATACGTGAGGTGTCTGGCGGCCATCCTTACATCGTGCCCACGGTAGGGCAAGTGTGGCCCAAGCCTCAGATGCAAGTGTCGCAGACCTCAACAGTCACCATCGCACCATGGCAATTCAAGTCAGTATTATTATTGCTTAGTCTTCCTTCTTCAACTTGTTATATTTATTTTTAAGAAAGATTTGATGGCTATATTTTAAGAACCAAACAACTTTAGTATAAAGCAAAATTGTCAATAAGTAGTGAACATTGTGCACTTTCCTCTTGCCGAGTGTTGCTGAAAAGATTGTTGAGCTCGTTTATCCAGATGGAGTCATGAGATTACATCCTTGTCCTATTATATGTTTATTATGCAATTAAGAACTTCCCTGTGAAGAAATAAAAAGGAAACACCTGAAGCCTTTACGTGGTGAACACCTTGGTTGCTGCAACTGAATGTTACACATTATGTTTACCCGCAACAAATGAAGCAAGTTATTTGCCGTGCAGCTTTACAGTGACTGACCAAACCTGCCCCCTGCTGCAGCGGGCGCTGGATCGCTACATTGTCATCATGTTTTCCACTTACAAGGTAGGCGGGCCTCAAGAAGATAAATAAAATTAAGATTACTAGATAATACAGGAGGTGAGTTATTAATTGAATAATTTGTGTCATTAAAAGTATTACATAGCAGCAAGTAAACCACGGCTTTGCTTAAGGGAGATAGTAACTAGGATTATTTCGTTCATTTGCCCATGATTGCCTATAAGATCATCACTCGGAGCAGAACAGTCACCCAGCAAGCTATCACCCTACATGCTATCGTCCAGCATGCTATCATCCAAGTCCAACATACTATCATCCTACATGCTATCGTCCAGCATGCTATCATCCTACATACTATCATCCTACATGCTATCATCCTGCATGCCATCATTCTACATGTCATCATCTTACATGTTACCATACTGCATGCTATCGCCCAGCATGCTGTCATCCTACAAGCTATCACCCGCATGCTATCATCCTACATGCAACATGTATAATCCAGCATATTATCATCCTAGATACTATCATCCAGCATGCTATCATCCTTATTATCTTATGACCTTTTGATGAGTTTGGGACTTCCTAGTCCCCGGTGATCACGCTGATGCGCCGCTTTCGTCGTCCTCCGTCTCCGAGTAGTCGCTGTAGGCAGGTGACCCCGCACTCGGGTCCAGGATGTAACGTTTGAAGTGTTCCGTCTATTTGCCCTTCTTTGGGCCAGCTGATGCATGATGCTGTTGCTTGTCACTTGCTGAGGGTGGTTCCCCATTACTGGACAATCCGGGATCATTCTCAACCACTTGTCCTGTCGTCTCTTGAATGTTGCAAGGGTGAACTCCCCTCCTCTCAGTATTTTTGACAAGACATTAACGAGACAAGACAAGATCACTGTCCGTGGCTCCTGCCAAGGACAGTGATCCTCACGAAGAGTCAGTACTCTGGTCGCGTCTCGGTTATTAAATGGAGGATCCTACACAGTTTCTTCCCCCTTTCGTTGTAAAATGTCACTATTCTGGAGGTCTCACTCGCAAAGCTGGGAGCCAGTCCGGTTACCATATATAATCCAAGTGTACAATATGATATATCTCTTTTTTCTCCTCTCCAGTGAGTACAGTTCCAGTAGTTTCAGCCTGTCTCAGTAATTCAGCTCCAGTTCCCGCATACCGCTGATCCTGTACGTTAAGGTCCGCTGGACTGACTCCAGTTTCCGCACTGCGCCCGCCTTGAGTGGCGACCAAAGTTGGCAGCAATACTTAAGATTGGGGAGCACGAGGGCTCTGAAGAGTGTAGTCATTGGTGCTGCTTCTCGATCTCGTTCGAAATGTCCGCCAGATCCATCCTATCCGTTGTCTGCTTCGCGCGACTACATCGAACGTGGCTTCGGTACTCGTGAACACTCCGAGATATCGAACTAGTTGCTTTTGCTCAATTTTTGTGGCATCCCGGTCTCTGTGTGGACTCTGTATCTCATTACTGCGAACTTGGTGCCGTTGAACTACATATTGTTTACTAAGGGCCAATCATAGATTGTCGACAAGTCATCCTGTAACCTCTCGCAGTCTAGGTCCTCTGTGATCTTTATCAGCACTCCTGTATCGTCCGCAAATGACGATGTAGATGCGTTGGTAAGCTCAGCGTCGATATCGGCAATGTGTATGGATCGGACCAAGCACTGATTCCTGTGGAACTCTGCTTTTCACCCTCGCTTTTCTCGATTTTGAGTTTCCAATTGCGACAGCTTGTACTTTATCTGTAAGGAGGTTGTGGATCCACCTTAACAGGTTTCCTCCTATCCCCCACAGCCTCAGCTTTCTGAAAAGCACCCCATGTTAACTTTGTCAAAAGCTTTAGCAAAGTCCAGGTAGACTACGTTCACACCAGCTCCCTCCTCCAGCTGCCCCACAATGCGGGGATGGTGCTCCAGTAACTGTGACAAAAAGGAACGATTACGCCGGAAATCATGTTGTCCATTGTCATGCAGGTCAGCCTCGTCATATACTGGAAAGCCTCCTGACCACTACCTTCTCAAAAACTTTGATCACATGTGATGTCAAGGTCACAGGTATGTAATTTTGGGGTCTGTCCCTCGGACCTCCTTTGTGGATTGGCGTTATCAGTCCCACTTTGACGCCCTCAGGTATAATTCCCTGTTATCGAGGCTTTCCAGAGCATTAATTGTGAGCGGAGCCTTCAGAGTTCCAACACACTTCTTCAACAGCACTGCCGAAATTCCATCGGATCCTGGCGCTGAAAACGACGCCAGTTCTGTGATGCTTATTTCATATCTTATGGTCCAAACTCATTGTTCACCAATCCCCTTCCACCTGGCAGCTCCTGGAGAACTTCAGCTTCATTCTCCTGTCTTGGGTAGCGGGGGTTACTAAACACTGATTAAAATTGCTATGCCAGTAAGTTACACATGCCATGGTTAACTCCGACAAGGACATAGTTATCCTTCAGCGGGCCCACTGGCGTCTTTATTATAGCCTTTCACTGGACGTATTTGAAGAAATATTTGGGGTTCTCTCTAATGACCTCAATTATTACTCATTCCTTGGCAGCTTGTTCTTCTATCCTGTGCGAGTCCTGCTGCAACCTGCGTTCAGTCTCCATGTGGAGCTCTACTATAGTCGCTGTCTCATCAGGTCACTAGTGGATTCAGCTATTCGTTTATTTACTATAATCGCTTGCGCTTTCTCATGAGGATTCGTCGGTCTACCGGAATGCTACGGACTTTGGGGTCATCCTACATGTTATCATCCAGCATGCTATCATCCAGCACGTCATCATCCTACATGCTATCATCCTGCATGCTATTATCCAGCATGCTATCATCCAGCATGCTATCATCCAGCATGCTATCATCCAGCATGCTATCATCCAGCATACTATCAGTCTGCATGCTTATTAATCAGGATGCTATCATTCTACATGCTATCATTCAGCATGCTATTAATCAGTATGCCATCATTCTACATGCTATCATCCTGCATGCTATTATCCAGCATGCTATCATCCAGCATGCTATCATCCAGCATGCTATCATCCAGCATACTTTCAGTCAGCATGCTTATTAATCAGGATGCTATCATTCTACATGCTATCATTCAGCATGCTATTAATCAGTATGCCATCATTCTACATGCTATCATCCAGCCTGCTATCATTCAGCATGCTATTAATCAGTATGCTATCATCCTACATGCTATTCAAATAATTTTTAAAGTAAATTGCCATGATTCTGAAGTGCTTACCTTCAACCTAACTTCAACTTAACTTAAGTTGGCAGAACAAATTTAATAATATAGTTTACTTCAATTATAAATCCGAGGGATAATATGCGATGCCTTATTGAAGGCATCACAAAAGATATTTTGAATTAAAACAAATAATAATTTTGAGCTACACTTAATATTTCAATATGATGGGTATTTTGGATCCGCGCTTGAGTAACCCCAACTACATAAACAGTGCCAGTCTTCCAATACACACATATTTTTCCAACTGATATTTGAGATATTATTTGGATAATTACTGATATTTGAGATTATCAATTCACGTGCAATTTGACCAAACTGGATAAGAGATAACCACTTCAAATGGGTTTTCAGCAGCAAACGAAGGCTCGCCACGCTGGCAGAGTGAGGGGCATAGAACTCACCAGCTTCCAGATTCGTCTCCTGGCGGCTTGCGAAGACGCGCCTTACCTTCACATGGACGAGCATTATGAAATAAAGGTGGTTCCTCTCCCCAGTCAAGTTCAAATTACTATGAGCCGCGATGCATGCTTCCAATCTTTATGAATTTTTACATATTGTTAAACAGCAAGACTCAATGATGGTTAGGATAATTATTAGTTAGGCTATAGTGACGCATTCTGATAAATGAATGGTCACTCTTACTTTGAGCTACATTTACAACACGTGGGGCACATCTTGACGCATTCTTATCCTGCTCCTATAAGTAGTGTGATGCTTGTAGATTTAATCATAATGTATTCAGGTTCTTTGCACAAGTTATTCAGAATTTCCGGAGCACCAACTGATAGAGGCTTAACTTAAATGCACTTTCAAGAGAAACTGTATTAACTGCATATATATTGCCATGTTGAGTATCGGACAATGTTAAGCGTTTACAGGCTAAATCAAAGTAAATAGATTACAATATTTTACGTGAGAATTCGAGACAAACATCTAAACATTAACGAGTTAAACAGTTAAAATTGAAAAAAATGTTGACAGCGCTGGTACAGATCGACAGTCCAGATGAGCCTGGCGTGGGCAGCATGACAGCGGTGAGCGTATGAGGCATCCTGCGAGGTCTCGAGTCCTTATCTCAGCTCCTCATCCCCGAAGGCGACGGCACCTACACCGTATACGCCACGCAGATCATGGACTTCCCGCGTTTTTATCACAGGTTTGAACCATGTATGCTGTGATGAGGGATCCATGTGATGATGATCATTAATGATCTAAGATGCTGCGCTTAAGTTCTAAAGAATAGAAACGTCGATTTCTATCCTTTAAACTTTACAGAGTGAAAATGAAGTTCAAGGTTATGTTCACTCAAACTTGTTTCAGAGGCTTCATGATCGACACAGCTCGTCATTTCCTGCCCATGAACAAAATAAAAGAAATGCTCGATCTCATGAGCATGAACAAATACAACGTCTTGCACTGGCACATCGTTGACGATCAGAGCTTCCCTTACAAGAGCGACGTCTACCCCGATCTCAGGTAATCGCGGATTGTGATCAAATAAAACTAGCCGCTTACGTGCATCGCGATCACGACAAAAATGCTTCCCTGTATAAGAACTTCCGTGTATACAAAAATTTGGTATTGTTAACCAAACGCAGGTTCGCAATATCATAGTTATGATAATTCGATTCATTAAATGTCGAATTCTGAATTATAACAAAACAACTGGACATGCGCCAGCCACCAACTCTGCTCTAACTTCAGGGTTAGCGAATTCTACGCACTTTGCAATTAATAACTGTGCGGCGTGACCCCTTTCCTGCTAACAAATTTGTTTAAATATAGGGCGGTATATAACGTACATAACATAACATAGTGATCTCGGCGCTGCAGTGTAGGCCTGATGTGGCCTGTCGCCGATTCTTTTCCTTTTCGGGCCTTGTTCACAGAAGATCTAAACTCGTGTCATTTGACCGGATCTTTTCATGACTGGCGATAGTGCACCATCTCACTCAAGGCGTTTACAACATCATTCAACGATTTCGTCTCATTGCCTTGCTCTTCCACCGGTTTTTCGCTTTTTCGAATACCAATAGTTGGTTCTTCGCAGTCACGACAAAACCAATGAAGTAATTTAGTTTTCTGGAGAAGCAAGTATTCGTCAGAGCTCAACTTCGAACAGCTGAAGCAAATGAAGTCTTCGCAGCGTTCACACATGACAGTCTGATCTGCCTCGCTCACAGAGATCTCTTTGCAGTGTTTGCAAACTTTCATCTCCGACTTAGCTGATTTGATTTTAGCCTTTTGTCTAGCAGAATTAGAGGGCTTTTCGACTACCTTTTTTTTCCTCTGTCCAGCCATCGTACAGTAAACGGAGGAAAACACAGGTGTAAAATTGAATTGACTTGAGTAGAGTTGAAGTTAAAATTCTATTTAAAACAGAATTGGAAATTAAAAATAGAAATAAAAATAAATAATAAAAATAAAAATAAAATAAAACATGTCTTAAGTGAGAAGAAAATTTGGCAGGCTGGCAGTTAGTGGGCATGAGGTTATACAGTCAAGCAGTAAAAAAGGCAAAAATTTCAAATTAATAAAATATTTTTTAAATAAATTGAAAGTAGACAAATGACGAACTTGGGAATGCCACCAGAGGGTTGAAGGGGTACATGCTTCATTTTTTAGTGTTTAGTTTAACTGTATCGTTTAGGGACGAAGTAATGCAAAGAATTATTATTATATGGTCATGATCGAACATATGTTGCTGTTCGTAATATTATGATCAATACCCTAAGATGGGCTAGGCTGATATATAGACTTTACCACCCTAATAAAATTTTAATGACACCAGTTGTTTTGAACAAATAATTACCGCACTTTCAGCACCATGGGCGCGTGGGACAGCAAGAGAGTCTACCAATCGTCCGACATTGCCGACATCGTCTCATATGCAACAGACCGCGGCATTCGAGTCATTCCGGAGTTCGATACTCCAGGTGAATAGCGATAGGGTGCCGACTTCTGGACGTTCACGGGTTCGATAAAGTAGCGTTGCGCTAAAATACTCAATAATCTGTTGAGGTTCGTTCTCCCCAGATATACTCGATCTTTCGACAGCCGTTGAATTTTGCTCACCGCCATGTTCTGCATGTGCAGGCTGAAAACTATATTTATTCAGGGAGAGATGCGCGATCCATAAATGAATAATACTGAACCGCTTTCTTTTGTCCGACCGAACATGACAGGTCACACGCGCAGCTGGGGCGATGGCCAGCCTGACCTCCTCACTGAATGCTACACTAAGTAAGATCCAAATGAGTCGTGATGAGTAATGTAGCTAATCGGTGTATTGTCCTCGGTATAGACTTGCGTTGTGAAAAACGATAAATTATATGGGAATGTAGTGTCCGGTTGTAGTTCGATAGAGTTTTGTGAATTAGTTAATTATAATTCAATAGGGACCAATGAGTTCTAAAATTTCCGATAAATACAAGGAGGATAATGACGAGAGTTCCTTTAGTTTTTCCTTATCAATTATTTAAGGTAAGACACGGGGAGCCTAATACAGATAAGTGAGTTTACTACAATGGTTGATAACGACACTATTGTGTGGAGCATAGTTGCCGGAGTCGTTCATACGTAGATGCGGATAAGCGGTTGGAAGCAAGATGTTAGTGTGGTTCTTTCAGGCTATCGACTGACTCGAGGGACCGTTTGAAGAGTTTATATAGACGTGTAATGATGACGTCACTGAGGGTGACTCAAGTAGTGCCTGAGCAAGTATAGGAAGTAACCTGACAATAGTGCAAACCTCAACTATTATTATAATACTAATAATGAACAAACGATCTGGAATGCTTTTTTCGTCGATTAGGACAAAAATATCGATAAAAGATTATGTGCAATTTTTTATGAAGCATTATTCATTTCCTTTATGCCAATGAGTATGTTAACCAAAATAAAAGGAAACATAGATTAAGATCCTACAACTGGAGCAATTTCAGCAGCATTTCAGCAGCATAATACATAGCTGAATGTTTCTATACAGCGGGTCCCCGAACGGCTTGTACGGTCCCATCGACCCATCGAAGGAGACGACCTACGACTTCCTGAAGGCGCTCTTCACGGAGGTGACGAGTCGCTTCCCTGACCACTACCTGCACCTCGGCGGCGACGAGGTGCCCTTCGCCTGCTGGTGGGTATGCGGTGTAATCTTGGTAATATTGGTACTTGTTTCGGACGTAGCAGTCCCAGGCCACGATGAATCGCCGCCTCTGATTATCGCTCATCCGCCCTCATTTGGGCCACCTGATGCACGATGCTACCTTGTTTAAGTTCACATGCAGTCAACAGGATTATCATTCTGTACTTGGGAACTCGTCTGAGCTTTATTTTATGCAAGACTGAAAAATGAAAAGTTTCGGAATAATAGTTTGACAAAAGAGTTTATTATAGAACAAAACAAAATTAATTTTAGGTTCATGCCTCTTTCGTTCTCAAGGAAAGTGACCGCAATTCGAAAAATATTAGCTGAACAATACAAGTGAAAATTGACAAATTATGTGTACGTTTTACAACACTTCTCTTTAACTTCACTTCTTGTTATCTGTCTGGTACAAAACTTATAATAGATATTTAACACACTTTTACCTTTCCCATCGATCTGAAATTTTGCACACTTGCGTAAATTTGGGGACAATGCATGAATCAATTGACAGAATACAAAATTTTGATAAATAATTTTGATTAAAATTTCATTTTTGTAATATATGATAAAATTGGAAATTCATTGTACATGTGTAACATCGGAGACACTGGCTTCTGTAGATGTGTTGTCTTTAAAAAATAATTTTTAAACGCATATTATTATTATTCTAGGATAAGCAACCCAAGCATTTCGGAGTTCATGGTCCAGCAGAACATCACGACTTACAAAGGCCTGGAGAGTTACTACGTTGCACGACTTCTCGACATCGTGGCCAAACTTCCTACCGCCAACGGGTGAGAATAGGTAGCTAATTTACTAAAGCAAATTAATTAATGAAAAGCCGTTTACTGTACTGATGAAATATATGTCTACTGTAGTATATGAATTTACATTGAATATAAAGTTTACCGCTGAACAGAGGCTCGTTCATGCAAGTAGTTCCGTATAAACGAGCAGTAGACATCGAGTAGTAAAGTTTTAAACGTTAAACAGTGTTGAAGGTACAGTACTAAAGCTACCACGGATTACTCCATAGGTACTCAGGCCCATGTCATAGGTAACCAGGCCAGCGTCATAGGTACCCAGGCCCACGTCATAGGTACCCAGGCCAGCGACATAGATACCCAGGCCAGCGTCATAGGTACTCAGGCCCACGTCATAGGTACCCAGGCCAACGTCATAGAAACCCAGGCCCGCGTCATAGGTACCCAGGCCAGCGTCATAGGTACCCAGGCCCACGTCATAGGTACCCAGGCCAGCGTCATAGGTACTCAGGCCAGCGTCATAGATACCCAGGCCCATGTCATAGGTACCCAGGCCAGCGTCATAGGTACCCAGGCCCATGTCATAGGTACCGAGGCCTACATCTGTCTCTTATACACATCTAGATGTGTATAAGAGACAGGTTGTAGTTCGATAGAGTTTTGTGAATTAGTTAATTATAATTCAATAGGGACCAATGAGTTCTAAAATTTCCGATAAATACAAGGAGGATAATGNTACACTGTTAGAAAAATTACCGTTAACGGTATTACCGGCGTTTCAGTGGCCGGTCGGTACGTGAAAAGAAACATCGTGTCGCCGTTTTTATTCTAATTTAACACTAGAAATCCGTAAAACATCTGATAAAAACGGAGAAACAGTTTATTTTCACGGGGCGATCGGCCACTAGAACGCCAGTGGGACCGTTTTTTCACCGTTTTTTCTAACAGTGTACCACCACTACCACCACACCGCCTCGTGACTGTGATGACACCTACCACCACAACCACCACCACCACACCACGTTTTCTCCACAGGTAACAGCAGCAGGCTTCTCTACGCTGCTCTCGTCGTGCTGGTACCTCAACTACATCAGCTACGGTACAGACTGGCACCAGTACTACGAGTGCGACCCGCAAAATTTCAATGGTAATGCTTAAACCTTTAATTTATTTCAACATTTAACGCTAGAGTTAAAAATTTTTATCTAGTATGCTTATCATTACGACGTTAAGGTTCAGAAATTTAATCTAATATATCTGAAATTTTGACGGCAACGTTTAAAAAGTTATACAAGGATGGTCATAAAAGGCTTCTATCTGCTCGTTTAGAACATTAGTCAATAAGTTCCAGTGAACAAATTCCTTGATATCAAGTAACGAAATATTCACACTCTTTTACTGTATTCCTCTTAGACTTGCAGAAGATTTTCACTAAAAATTCTTTTAATTTCCTACCCATTGCTTTTGCCTCAAACTATATTCCGATGTTATTCTATTACAAAAAAAGTTGTAACGTACAGGAGTAGTTTTAATAAAATTAAATTGGATCGCCTGTGCATCTCCCGTCACCTCGAGGTGACGTACTGTAAATCACAAATACGTATAAGTAGTATAGTGAAGCGGTGTCAGCTTCAGCTAGTGAGTTAGTTGGCGCCCCGATTAATTCCTAACCGCCCGGCCACCTCCCTTAACACCTTAACAAAATTTAGAGTCGCCCCAGCTTCTGGTATTCCAAATCAGAAGCTGACGCGTCTCTAAATTTTCACTGGGTCATCGATTCCAATAAGAAATTTCACAACTAGTCGCGGATTCCAGACCCGAAACTCGCTGCTCCAATCTTGTCGATCATGAATACTCGGCCACTCCGAACCCATACCGAGGAAACACAATGTTCGTACTAGAATCTGAACTAGCAAACGACAAGAAGGCTTTAGAGTCCTTTCTCACCATTTGCAATGTTTTCCTCACAATTTTTGACTGCAGGGCAAGATACTTCCTCGCTTGATTTTTTGTTCTAATATAAAGGTTATATATTATTCTTTGTTAGAATTGAGCTAGGCTGAAGCTGCTCTGCTCATTCAACAAGTCTTCTTGCCCGTGTGAAGCCTAAATTTATGAATTAATGTATGCACCAACCGCAGACATTACCGTGCCTCAAGGAAAGACCACGACTTGGCAAAATTCATGTCCGAAATGTATGCTGTACTCAATACCGCACAAAATAAATACTGCACTTGCTGCTTCATGCAGTTTAGCCAAGCGGAGTTTCGTAAAATTCAATCGCTCGCGTTATCACGGCTTTTTTTCTGCATGGTATCTAATAGAGAGCATAGTGACTGGTCGTGGCATTGACCTAACGGAGCCTCGTGATGAAACTTAAGGCTTAGTTTGTTTCAATTTACTGGTTTTCAAGCCTGGCCTATAGAGAGTTAGTAACGCGGGGATGCAAGCTAATTCATATTAGGCATACTAAAACTAATCTCAATTAAGGTTCATTGTATTGGGTTTCGCCCTCAGGCACTGAGACGCAGAAGAGCCTGGTGGTGGGGGGCGAGGCGTGCATGTGGGGGGAGTGGGTGGACCGCACTAACCTGATCGCCAGGACGTGGCCCCGGGCGTCGGTGGTCGCCGAGCGCCTGTGGAGCGACGCGTCTGTCAAGAGCACCAACGAGGCGGCGCCGCGGCTCGAGGAGATGCGCTGCCGGCTCCTCGATAGGGGCTACGATGCCGAGCCGCTCGGATGGAGCTATTGTCTTTCTGACCTTTAATACACATAACCTCGAGGTGGTGCTCACCTCTTATGTCAAGCTGTCATTTTTATGACATTTTCTTGACAGTTGGCTCCTTATTAATCCAATAGTAATATTTGTTTTTAGCATACTTGTGGCAGTCTTGCATTTGTTTAATTCTCCTGTTTTAGATTTGCATACCCGTATTCAAAGAGAAAGGACAGTTCATGGACACGTAGAAAACATTATTGTCCAAATTGAACCACCAAATGAAGGTGTTGTACGAGTTGTTGTTGTTGTATATATAGTTCCCCGGCGAGTTGTTGTTGTTGTAGTTCCCCGGCGAGTTGTTGTTGTTGTGGTTCCCCGGCGAGTTGTTGTTGTTGTGGTTCCCCGGTCTCGCTTTTACAAGAGACGACACCACCTCGCGCAAGGACGACACCACCGACAGGGGGTCGCTCCAGAGCTGTAGGTTATGAAAGTGTTACTGTTCACTTTAGAGGTGCTTTATCTAACGGTTGTTTATTACTACGACTTGTGGACGCAAACAAGTTCATAAGCTAGCAGAACTATACTTCATAGCAGACATTTACTGTTTGTTCAACGAACTCAGTCCAATCGAGTAACTCTCCTTAATATAAGAAGGTAAATGAAATTCAACAGAGAGGCATTGTTCTTCATTTGCAACTGGTCTTCATAACTGTGAATAACAAGAAGACCTCACGCAAGACGCACCTAAAATATCACCAAAGCCTCGTGGCTGTATAGAACCGAGGGCTCCAGAGACAAACTACGTTCCATTTTTATTTGGGAAAAAACATAAAATACTTATGCATTCGTGACCTTTCCAGCAGAGTTTATTTACAATAGAGGTTAATTCGAAACGAATAAGCATATCAATACAAAAGATTTTGTGGCAAAGGAAAGACGTGCGCCTCTACGGTGAATTTAAGTCTCAGAAATGAAATGGAACTTCTGCAGGCAACGGTGCCTTAGCCAAAGCCTCGTCTGCTCGACGCAGAGCGACTGGCGTCGCTGTCGTCTTTAATTATTGGCCTGACGTGCAAGACTTGCGTATCACAGATGGTGGAAGCGTCGCCTAGAACGATATAAATAAGTACCGATGCAAATAAACTTTACAAGGAATAACAACATAGTGTTCTAAACTCAACAGATCTCAAACGCCACATGCCCCGAATGCGTACTGAATCTAAGAGCCTTTACTTGCTTTACTTGCATGTCTCACACGGACGTCAAGGTAGGAATGCTCAACGTTAGATCTACCGAGTAGGTAGGCCCTCTGTTTTAAAAGTGAGTTGCAGGCTTTATTGTGGAATGCTTTGACATGATGGATTACTAGAACCACAGTACTGATGTGATAGCTTACGAGCACCACAACTGCACAGCTCTGATATGACGGCACCACAGCAACAGCACTTAGCCACAGAAACAGGCCACAACATCCTATAAAGATTGAAGTTGCTTCCAACGTCACGCACCAGCAAAACTCAATACGCGTCACTTTTGACTTATACGCTCACGGCTCAAAATGCGCTGTCGCCAGGCGGTGCGGCGCAGCTGCTCGATCAACGTAAGTTTATCGCATGCCAGAAAAGTAATGCAACGATCATCAAGAAGCTTTTATGCCCTGAATGACGTCCATCGTTAGGTATAACGATGCTAAGAAATAGAGAACACAGACTGGACAGAATAATGTTAATGCTCAATGAGAAATGACCAGACGTTCAAATGTAAAACTGCTACGTATGGCATGCACGTGGCAATACGAAATAAATATTTTTTCATAAATAAAGGGATTAAACGATTTATTTTTACGTTAATAAAACAGATTAAATTAGATGCGCTCTGAATTTAGTAATAAAAAGCGAGCTTTATCATTCCCTTGCAAGCCAGAGGTTTCGACCCAATCTATCCGTGTATCGAAGCCAAAACATGATTTCCGACTCTGGCGCTCACGGAGCGACTCAATCATCCGAAGCAATCATTAATGACTTGTTGAACTTCGTGCATACGTGACAATCACAGAGTAACAATAGTTCGTTGGTAGCAGTCATCGAATGAAGCTGACATAAGACACGTTAAACGCACAAGATCCGCCACCACACGGTCGCTGCATCGCCACAACACGGTCGCTGCATCGCCACCACACGGTCGCTGCATCGCCACCACACGGTCGCTGCATCGCCACAACACGGTCGCTGCATCGCCACAACACGGTCGCTGCATCGCCACTAGAGAGCGAGGTGAGGTAATACGTTCAACACGACTGAGGATGAAGAGAGCGAGGTGAGGTAATACGTTCAACACGACTGAGGATGAAGAGAGCGAGGTGAGGTAATACGTTCAACACGACTGAGGATGAAGAGAACGAGGCGAGACGTACGTTCAACACGACTGATTCGTTCGCACGCACTTCTGTAATGTCGGGTTTTCTGGGATAATCTTCATCAAGGGGCCCAGACAGAAATTAATAATCTTTATACATGTATTATCATTATGAGCATATACTGTATCTGTTGCACACTTGATGCTTATGCTAATATAAACAACCTGGTGGTGATTATTAGTTAAAATAAAAAAGAAAATTTAATCCATTATTAGGAACGCCATCACTAAATTGAAAACTTTTACTACGAGGCATAAATGGAGAGCTCGTCACAGCTCGTTGACTAGTACGATTTTGAGGTCTTCCGTGGTGATATTTTTCTTTGTCTCCATGCGAGGTAATTTATTTTCAGACTCTATGTGATGTAATCGCGACTTCTCAGGTGCACTCCAGATGCTCTATAGACTCTAGAGCTTCCACAACCACTGCACTATTACCGAACTAATGCAAACATCACAATGATGACGTACACGATGAAGACATACAAGCACCCAACAGCTCAAGCACTCGCATCGTTGAGCGAAGATAGAGAATGCATAATAGAACATGACTGCATTGACCCATAATAAGAAAGCATGTTTTTGCAATACTGATGGTATAAACAATACCTTATAATATATTCATAGACTGGCTTATTAATGCATCAGAGAAATAAATAGAATTGACTACATTCCGATAGAAGTTTTGCTCCGCCACACTAGTGCAGCAAATAGTTGGAGGTAGGAATACGTAAGACAAGATGGGACGTTGCTTGGGTGGACCGAGTACAGGGATTGTGGCTATAAAATGAATAGAAGGAATACATGAAATCAAATTCGAAATAGCAAATAAGTTCAATAAAACGTTGATAATTGAGTGAAGAAATCTAAGGAGACGCAATTCTAAGAATAAAAGAAACAATGATGAACAGCTGTGAAATGCATGCCTGCTAACTGGGCCACAGAAGTCAAGATGAATCCAGAAAATTAACTTCAAGACAATTATAGGTCCAAATTTCAGGTCCCAAAACACCACTAAACTCGAGAACCGAACTCGGGGGCTTGCAATAGCGACCAGTCCCAAACACCGGGTTCTCAACTAACTAACTGCTCATATTTGCACCCTGAGAACCCTGATGCTCCAGATGCCTGGTTCTCGTGAAAATTGAAGTTAACCTTGGAGTGAACAACGCGGCGTCACATAAGTACCTCGCATTAAGTTAACCTTGGAGTGAACAACGCGGCGTCACATAAGTACCTCGTATTAAGTTAACCTTGGAGCGAACAACGCGGCGTCACATATAAGTACCTCGCATGAAGTTAACCTTGGAGTGAACAATGCGGCGTCACATAAGTACCTTGCATGAAGTTAACCTTGGAGCGAACAACGCGGCGTCACATAAGTACCTCGCATGAGTAACTCACGCCAGCGTCGTAAGGGTACACTTTACTTCAGAGTTCTGTGGCTGGAGACACGCTCTTAAAAAAGACTTAGTGCAACCTTAACCTTTTGCCGACTACATATTGGAAAGCTGCAAGATGCTGTTAATTGCTTGTAATTGTTGATGATTTTATTTGAGACCTATAATTCGTGCTCTTTCCGGAACTGGAATCATTGAATGGTTTGGACAAGATGAACAAGACGAGGCGCAGGCTTGTCTTAACGTGTCGAGGACTGCGGGCACAGCTGAAAATGTTGCAGTCGATTGCTCGTTATTACTGTGAAGGACTCATCATACTGAGCGTGAAGGATTCGTGTGTTAATACTAAGCGTTGGTTCAGCAAGACACAGCGGCAAGAAAAGAGAGATGGACGGGTCTTGCAGGTACACAAGGAGGATATTGCAGAAGGGTGCGCAGAAGAAGAGGCCACCGAAAAAGGGGCCGCCGAAGAAGGGGCCGCCGAAGAAGGGTGCGCAGAAGAAGGGGCCGCCGAAGGTGGGTGCGCCGAAGAAGGGGCCGCCGTAGAAGGGTGGGCATAAGAAGGGGGCACCGAAGAAGGGGCCGCCGAAGAAGGGTGCGCCGAAGATGGGGCCGCCGAAGAAGGGTGCGCATAAGAAGGGACCACCAAAGCAGGGGCCGCCGAAGAAGGGGCCGCCGAAGAAGGGGGCACCGGAGAAGGGGCCACCGAAGAAGGGTGCGCCGAAGAAGGGGGCACCGAAGAAGGGGCCGCTGAAGAAGGGTGAGCCGAAGAAGGGCCGCCAAAGAAGGGTGCGCCGAAGAAGGGGCCGCTGAATAATGGGCCGCTTAAGAAGGGTGCGCCAAAGAAGGAGCCGCCGAAGATGAGGCCGCCGAAAAAGGGGCCACCGAAGAAGGGGCCACCGAAGAAGGGACCGCTGAATAAGGGGCCGCTTAAGAAGGGTGCGCCGAAGATGAGGCCGCCGAAGAAGAGGCCACTTAAGAAGGGGCCGCTGAATAAGGGGCCGCTTAAGAAGGGTGCGCCGAAGAAGGGGCCGCCGATGAAGGGGGTACCAAAGAAGGGGGCAACGAAGGAGGGTCCGCTGAAGAAGGGGCCGCTGAATACTGGGCTGCTTAAGAAGGGCGCGCTGAAGAAGGGGACGCTGGAGATCGGGACACTGCAGGAGATGAAGCACATGCAGAGAGACAACAGTCCAGGGGCCGCCATCATCCGGAGTCATCTGGAAATACCAACGA